TTGTATTTTCAGGAGTGTGAAAGATGTAAAATACCTAGATTCATTGTGACATTTACACAATGTGCATTTCGTTGAGAGGACTGAGTTGTGGCTCTTTTGAGATATTTCTTCTACTGATGTAGTTTGTATGGTGTCAGTACAATTCTATCCTTTAGTCTCTAAAGTTTAGTGCCCTGAATGTGACTGGATGTGTTTCCTCACCAAAATCAAACTGGAAATTCCTTTTTGGTCAGCATGATATTGTCAGTTCTTGCCTTCCTCCCACCCCCCTCAGCCAATTGCCGTCCAAAACTTTACACAGGTTTATCTCCTGATGAGCCCAGTATTTGCTCCAGTCCCTGAGCCAGTTCTGTCCAGGGCAAGAAAGAATAATATTGTGGAGTAGAGGAGAGGTTGGTTTGGAATGAAGTCATACTGGCCATCGGATTTGAGATTTAACATGCTAGGGGCATACTCTAGGCACCTGTTGAGCTCTGGAGCTGTATCATTTATGCTTGTCATGATTTTCATGGAGTTAGCCTGCCCTGCATCCCTTCCTAGTTGCCCTCCAGGACCAAGATGCTGCTCAGAACTACAATACACTGCTGTGAATAGCTCTCTTGGAGCTATGGTGCATGCTCTTCCATCAGACTTCTGCATTATGGCTCTCTGCTTGTATTCTCTTGTACCATAGCCAGTTTGTTAGTTGGGACCTTCTGGGACATTGTATAAGAAAAATAATTCTCTCTCTGACTGTAGATAGAAAGTATGATTTACAATGTGATTTTAGTTATGACTAAACCTGTTTGTCATGAGTTTGCCATGCCCTTTTGGCACTGTTTTGGATATTTTGGCTATCCTCATTCGAACCAGCCTTTGCTGAAATAGTTTTTCTTAGCTTGCAATCAGAATTACAGTGTAGCACTCTGAATGGTGTTGGCTCATTTCTTCTCTCCCTGCTGTTGTTTTTTTTTTTTTAAAGATTGGCACCTGAGCTAACAGCTGTTGCCAATCTTCTTTTTTTTCTGCTTTTTCTCCCCAAATCCCCTCAGTACATAGTTGCATATTTTAGTTGTGGGTCCTTCTAGTTGTGGCATGTGGGACGCCGCCTCAGCGTGGCCTGATGAGTGGTGCCATCTCCACGCCCAGGATCCGAACCAGCAAAATCCCGGGCCGCCGCAGCAGAGCACGCGAACTTAACCACTTGGCCACGGGGCTGGCCCCCTCCCTGCTGTTTTTTCAGTTGTCTCGGAGTTCTGGCATATCACTTGTTCCAGGCCCTTCCCAATAAAATTAGTATAGTGGAAAGTACAGGATTTCAAATTAGAAAGCCTGAGTTCTAGTCCTGGTTTGCTACTTTTTCTTTGTGTCACCTTTGAGACGTCACTATACTTTGTTAAATCTCAGTTTCCACATCTTATAAAATAAAAATATCTCCCTCGTAGATTGATGATTAAATGAGAATGCATATGAAAAAACTTTGAGACCGTAAAATACTTTGCAAATGTTATTTTTATTGTAAATTTCGGTTCTTTTCTCACTAAAGAAGTTGCAGATAATCATTGTGACTTGGAGTAAAATCTTGAATTGACCCTGGCAGATCTTTGTGCTGCTTTGGCTTTTGAATGACTGGTTGAGCTGATGGAGGTCACAGGGAGAGACTTGGCAGGACTGATGATAGATTTTTTTCCATGTTGTCACAGAAGCTCCCTTCCCCAAGGACAGGGAAAATGTTTATTTTCTATTATACGCCACCTAGAATGCTGTCTACCTAATCAGAATTAATTGGTACTGATTAACGGCTGCCTCAATAGAGTGACCCCCAGTTTTAACTAGGATGAATCTCATTTAAATTATATTGACTGAAATCATGTGGTGAATCATAGTTTATTTCAGTAGCCAGGAAGATAATTTAATCATTTTCTTTCAAAATGTACAATCTTGTTTGATATAACCTTAATACAGCATGTTGTCTTGAGATCTCAAGAATAGGCTGTATTTATAGAGGCTCTTTTCTGAGGTTCTCCTAGAAGCATGTCTTCTTTCATAGTGTCTCAGCCATTCAGCCGTGTGATCTCTACTACTTACCTGGCTTTTTTGATCAGACTGCATTTAATCCTGAAGAACTGCAGGGCTGTCATTGCCTCAGGTGGGTGGTATCAATCAAGTTGCTCAACTGAATGACATTGAAAATATGTTTTGAAAGGACCAGAATTACTTTGACGAAGAATGAATCATATAAAACATTAAGAGAACATTCATAAGTCAAAATTAATGTCTTCATAGTCTCATATACTATGTAACCAGAAGTTATAATTGGTATTCTACTAAAATGTCTTTGGATTTTTTTGAGAAAAGGAACTCAAATCAAAGATTAATATTGAGTTTTTGTTTTTTTTTCAAAAACATTTTAAGAAATGTTTTTAAACCATATTTGGATTTTTTAAAAACATCATTTTTAAAACTTTCTTAATTATTTTTTTATTGAGCTATAATTGACACATTATATTAGTTTCAGATGTACAAGATAATGATTTGGTATTTGTATATTTTGAGAAATGATCACCACAATAAGTCTAGTTAACATCTGTCGCTATATTGTTACAAAATTTTTTTTAGTCATGAGAACTTTTAAGATTTACCCTCTTAGCAACTTTCAAATATGCAGTATAATATTAACTATAATCTCCATGCTGTACATTACATCCCCATGACTTATTTATTTTATAATTGGAAGTTTGTACCTTTGACTCCCTTCACCCATTTCGGCTCCCCCCCCCCCGCCCCGGCAACCACCAATCTGTTCTCTATCTATGAGCTAGGTTTTTTTTTTTTTTTTTTAAGATTCCACATATAAGTGAGATTATATGGTATTTGTCTTTCTCTGTTTGACTTATTTCACTTAGCATAATGCCCTTGAGGTCCATCTGTGTTTTCACAAATGGCAAGATTTTGTTCTTTTTTTATGGCTGAATAATATTCTTTTGTGTATATTTACTACATTTTCTTTATCCATTCATTCGTTGGTGGACACTTAGGTTGTTTCCATATTTTGGCTATTGTAAATAATACTGCAATGAACACAGGGTACATGTATCTTTTCAAATTAGTGTTTTTTTGGTTTTTTTTTTTGCTGAGGAAGATTTGCCCTGAGCTAACATCTGTTGCCAATCTTCCTCTTTTTGCTTGAGGAAGATTCACCCTGAGCTGACATCTGTGCCAATCTTCCTCTGTTTTGTATGTGGGTCACCACCACACCATGGCCACTGATGAGTGGTGTAGGTCTGTGCCTGGGAACTGAACCCGGGCCACTGAAGCAGAGCACGCTGAACTTAGCTGCTAAGGGCCAGCCCCCTTGAGTTAGTGTTTTCGTTTTTTTCAGATCAATACTTAGAAGTGGAATTGCTGGATCATATGGTAGTTCTATTTTTAATTTTTTGAGGAACCTCCATACTCTTTTTCATAGTGGCTGCACCAATTTACATTCCCACTAACAGTGTACAAGGGTTCTCTTTTCTCCGCATCCTCACCAACACTTATTTCTTGTCTTTCTGATTGTAGCCATTCTAACAGGTGTGAGGTGGTCTCACATTATGGTTTTGATTTGCATTTCCCTGATGATTAGTGATGTTAAGCATCTTTTCATGTGCCTGTTGGCCATCTATATGTCTTCTTGGGAAAAATGTCTGTTCAGATCCTCTGTCCATTTTTTAATTGGATTGCTTGTTTTTTTATTGTTGAGTTGTATGGGTTCTTTAAAATATATTTTGGATATTAACCTCTTATCAGATATATGGTTTGCAAATATTTTCTCCTATTCTAAACTTTTCTAATTCGCTTATCAATATTTTGAGCAAGTGCTGTAATATATGTGCCTCTCAGGCTAATACTTACCTAATCTTAGCAGAATCAAAGATAATTAATATTAGTCTTTCCATTAACTAATTTATGGGAATAAGGAAGCTAGAGGTTTTTCTTTTCATGTATATCTTATCACCTGAGGTGTGCAAAATATGTATGGTATATTTTCCCTAATACCTCTGCTCATGTAGTGGGTACTAAAGATTCCATGAGCTTTAAAGTAATATTTTGAGTACATTTGAACATAATTTGCTTTGTGAAGTCTTTTTGTGACTCTATCTTCTGATGTTTAACTGAAAATTTTCATTTAGCAGATTTATTATTTATTGTAGCAGGTTAAAGAATCTGTTTATTGTAGCAGCTTAAAAAATCTTTCAAAAGCTACTCTTATAGTATTGTTATAAATATTAACGATATTCTTGCTAGTTTATGCTCAGAAATGTTGCAAGAAATTAGATGTGTAGGTTATGGAGAACTCTGTTACATGAGTTTGGAAAAGCTTCATTTTTGATAATATGAAAGGCATCAATTATGATTCTGCGTCATGCTTGGGTTTTAAGGAATTCCACGCCCTAGTAAGATTCAGCTATGTGGAGTCTGGAGCTCAGACTGTTTAGAAAATGGTGACATCATTTGTACGGATTCAATAACAAGTTAATGTTGTTGCTAATTGGGCGTGGCATTTTTTTCTCACAAAGTAGTCAAGACTTCAGAGCCAGCATAAGTTAGCTATGTCTCTCTAATGCTTGAAAGTCTTAATAAGTATTTCAGTTTTACAGGGTGCATATCTAAGTCTCCCTTCAGAATTTCTACATTTTCTAGTTTTGAAGACATTGTTAATTTCTATTTTGTAGTTTTAAGACGTACTATAGTAACATTACTATTTGTGAAGTCAGTGCATTTTGCTTTCTGAGAATGAGTAATGATGATTAAGTTCTAAACAAGGGACTCCCTGGGAATACAAATTTTATATGAAAATTGTACTCTACCTTTAGCTAAGAGAAACTTTGTCTCCAGTTTGGTTTTGCTCTAAGGATCATTCAAGTTTCTTCATGCTATAGTCATTTGACCAAAGGTCTGGGAACAGATTTCAAACTGATTTGCTACTTTTAGCTGATGGTGATAGTTCACACTATTTTTCTCATCCATTCTTATTTCAGAAATTATTGAAAACCTGATTGTAAAAGGTAATTCACCTAGCATACATGAGGCCATTGATAGACTCTTCATGGACATAGCAAATATCAACAGGGAGTCTATGGCTGAAATGCAGGATGCTCAGGTTGGTATAAAAATAATTTTGTTTATGATAAATTTTGATGATTCATCATTTTAATTAATATATAAGTAAAAAATAGTTTTCATGATTAGCCATTGCTAAATACATAGAAAATCTATTTTTGGATTTTCAAGCCTCATGGCACATTTAGGGAAAATAGAGTTTTAGAAACCAATGGAAAAGTATGTGCTCAAGCTTAATATTTACTCTTTAACCTCTCTAAGCTTCAATTTTCTCATTTGTTAAAGGAGAATAATACAACTAGCCTCCTAGTGTTGTGAATAGTAAACAAAATAACATATATAAGGTCCTGGGTACATAGTAGTTAGTCACTAAATAATGGTTCTCTTTTCCTTCTCTTTGCAGCAAACTAAGAAACTACCTGGTAGTGGGGAACTCAATTGAATATAAGTCTTCAGGGGTGCTTTTGGGGGGGTATTTTTTCTAATATTTAAATGAAGACTTGTCACTTAATTTGCAAGTTGCCTTGAGGTTCTGAAACATTTTTGGGAATGTTTACCTTGGGCAAATCCTTCCATTTTGGTGACTGCACATATGGAAAGATGAGAAGAAAGTTAATTGTAAATATCTGTCCCTCTTTTTTATGTATATAATAGCTTTATTTAGATATAATTCACGTACCATGTAATTTACCCATTTCAAGTGTACAATTCAATAATTTTTAGTTTCACAGAGTTGTGCACCCATCACCACAATTTTAGAATATTTTCATCACACCAAAAAGAAGTCTTACACCTATTCACAAGCACTCTCCATTATTTCCCCTCTCCCTTAACTGTAGACAACCTCTAATCTACTTTCTGTCTCTATGGATTTGCCTATTCTGGAAATTTTATATAAATGGGATCATACAATGTGTGATCTTTTGTGACTGACTTCTTTCACTTTGCATCATGTTTTCAAGGTTCTTCCATGTAGTAGCATATATCTGTACTTCATTCCTTTTTTATGGCCGAATAATATTCCATTCTTTGGATGTACCACATTTTGTATATCCATTCATCTGTTGATGGGCATTTGGATTGTTTACATTTTTCAGCTATTATGAATAATTCTGCTACGAGCATTCATGTACAGGCATTTAGGTTTTTATTTCTCTTAGGTACATACCTAGGAGTGAAATTGCTGGGTCATATGGTAACTTTGTTTAAACTTTTGAGGAACTGCTGGATTGTTTTCCAGAGTGAGTGCACTGTTTTACATCCCCACCAGCAGTGTATGAGGGATCCAGTTTTTCTACATCCTCACCAGTACTTGTTATCATCTGTCTTTTTGATTATAGTCATCCTAATGGGTGTGAAGTGGTATCTCATTGTGTTTGTTTTATTTTTAATTATGGCAAAATGTACATAAAATTTACCATCTTAATTGTTTTATTTTTTTCTTTATTCCTAGAAAAGCATTTATTTATTTAATTTTTTAATGAGGTAACATTGGTTTATAACATTATATAAATTTCAAGTGTACATCATGATATAATAATAGCCATTCTAATGGGAGTGAGGTGATAGTTCATTGAAGTTTTGATTTGCATTTCCCTAATAATTAATGATGAACATCTTTTCGTGTACCTGTTGACCATCTGTATGACTTCTTTGGAAAAATGTTCAGATCCTTTGCCCATTTTTTGTTGTTGAGTTATATGAATTCTTTATATATTTTGGATATTAGCTCCTTATCAGATATATGATTTGCAAGTACTTTCTCCCAGTTGTTAGGTTGTCTTTTCATTTTGTTGCCGGTTTCCTTTGCTGTGCAGGCTTTTTAGTTTGATGTAGTCCCATTTGTTTATTTTTTCTACTATTTCCCTTGCCTGGTCAGACATGGTATTCAAAAAGATACTGCTAAGACTTATGTCAAAGAGTGGACTGCCTATGTTTTCTTCTAGAAGTTTTATGGTTTCAGGTCTTACATTCAAGTCTATAATCCATTTTCAGTTAATTTCTGTGTATGGTGTAAGATAATGGTCTACTTTCAATCTTTTGCGTGTGGCTGTCCGTTTTCCCCAACACCATTTATTGAAGAGACTTTCTTTTTTCCATAATATGTTCTTGGCTCCTTTGTCCAAAATGAGCTGTCTATAGATGTGTGGGTTTATTTCTGGGCTCTCGATTCTGTTCCATTGATCTATCTGTGTGTCTGTTTTTGTGCCAGTACGATGCTGTTCTGATTACTATAGCTTCGTAGTGTGTATATATATATATATATGTTTCCAAACATTTTTCCAAAAACATATACATATATATGTTTTTTGGTGAGGAATATTGGCCCTGGCTAACATCTGTTGCCAATCTTCCTCTTTTTGCTTGAGGAAGATTATCGCTGAGCTAACATTTATGCCAGTCTTCCTCTATTTTGCATGTGGGATGCTGCCACAGCATGGCTTGACAAGTGGTATGTAGGTCTGCACCTGGGATCCGAACCCGCCAACCCCAGGCTGCTGAAGTGGAGCACTTGAACTTAACCACTACATCACCGGGCTGGCCCCAGCTTTGGAGTACATTTTGAAAATAGTATGATACCTCCCGCTTTGTTCTTTTTTCTCAGGATTCCTTTGGCTATTCTGGGTCTTTTGTTGTTTCATGTAAGTTTTAGGATTCTTTGTTCTATTTCTGTGAAAAATGTCATTAGGATTCTGATGGGGATTGCGTTGAATCTGTAGATTGCTTTAGAAAGTATGGACATTTTAACTATGTTAATTTGTCCAATCCATGAGCATGGAATATTTTTCCATTTCTTTGTGTCTTCTTTGATTTCTTTCAACAGTGTTTTATAGTTTTCACTGTACAGGTGTTTCACTTCTTTGGTTATATTTATTCCTAGGTATTTTATTCTTTTTCTTACAATTGTAAATGGGATTGTATTCTTAATTTCTTTTTCTGGTATTTTCTTGTTAGTGTATAGAAATGCAACTGATTTTTGTATGTTGATTTTGTACCCTGCAACTTTGCTATATTCATTTATTATTTATAATAGTTTTTTGTGGATCTCTTTAGGGTTTTCTATATATAAAATCATGCAATTTGCAAATAGTAACAGTTTTACTTCTTCCTTTCCAATTTGGATTCCTTTTATTTCTTTTTCTTGCCTGATTGCTCTTGTTAGGACTTCCAATACTGTGTTAAATAAGATTGGCGAAAGTGGGCATCCTTGTCTTCTTCCTGTTCTTAGAGGGATGGCTTTCAGTTTTTCACTGTTGAGTATGATGTTAGCTTTGGGTTTGTCATAAATGGCCTTTATTATGTTGAGGTACTTTCCTTCTATACCCATTTATTCAAAGTTTTTGTCATAATTGGATGCTATATCTTGTCAAATGCTTTCTCTACATCTATTGAGATGATCATGTGGTTTTTATTCTTCATTTTGTTAATGTGGTGTATCATGTTGATTCATTTGTGGATGTTGAACCATCCCCGCATCCCTGGAATAAATCCTACTTGATCATGATGTATCATCTTTTTAATGTATTGTTGTATTTGATTTGGTAGTATTTTGTTGATGATTTTTGCATGGATGTTCATCAGTGATATTGGCCTGTAGTTTTCTTTTTTTGTGTTGTCCTCGTCTGGTTTTGGTATCAGGGTAATGCTGGCCTCATAGAAATGAGTTAGGAAGCATCCCCTTCTCTTCAGTTTTTTGGAAGAGTTTGAGAAGGATAGGTATTAAGTCTTCTTTGAATGTTTGGTAAAGTTCACCAAGGAAGCCATCTGGTCCTGGACTCTTGCTTTTTCATTACTGTTTCGATCTCCTTACTAGTGATCAGTCTATTCAGATTTTCTATTTTTTCTTGATTCAGTTTTGGGGATTGTATGATTTTAAGAATTTATCCATTTCTTCTAGATTATCCAGTTTGTTGGTGTATAGCTTTTCATAGAAATCTCTTATAATCTTCTGTATTTCTGAGGTGTCCATTGTAATTTCTCCTCTTTCATTTCTGATTTTATTTAGTTGAGCTTTCTCTCTTTTTTTCTTGGTGAGTCTAGCTAAATGTTTGTCAATTTTGTTTATCTTTTCAAAGAACCAGCTGTTCATTTCATTGACTTTTTCTAATTTTTTTTTAGTCTCTATGTCATTTATTTCCACTCTGATTCTTACTGTTTCCTTCCTTCTACTGATTTTGGGCTTTGTTTGTTTTCTTTTCCTAGTTCCTTTAGGTGCACTGTTAGAGTGTTAATTTGAAAATTTTCTTGTTTGTTGAGGTAGACCTGTATTGCTATAAACTTGTGTCTTAGAACCACTTTTATTGTATCCCATAAATTTTGTGTGTCATATTTTCATTCTAGTTTGTCTCCAGGGATTTTTTAATTTCTCCTTTGATTTTTTTCTTTGACCCAATTGTTGTTTAGTAGCATTTTGTTTAATCTCCAGGTATTTGGGGCTTTTCTAGTTTTCTTCTTGTATCGATTTCTAGTTTTGTAGCGTTATGGTCAGAAAAGATGCTTGGTATTATTTCAGTCTTCATAAATTTAGTGAGACTTGTTTTGTGGCCTAATATATAATCTATCCTGGAGAATGTTCCATGTGCATTTGAAAAGAATGTGTATTCTGTGGTTTTTGGATGGAATGTTCTGTATATACTAAGTCCGTCTGGTATCATGTGCCATTTAAGGCCAATGTCTCCTTATTGATCTTCTGTTTGGATGATCTATCCATTGATGTAAGTAGAGTGTTGAAGTCCCCTACTATGATTTTGTTATTGTCAATTTTTCTTTTTATGTCTGTTAATAATTGCTTTATATATTTAGGTGCTCCTATGTTGGGTGCATAGATGTGCTATGTCCTCTTGTTGGATTGTTCCCTTTATCATTATGTAGGACCCTTCTTTGTCTCTTGTTACAGTTTTTGTTTTGAAGTCTATTTTGTCTGGTATAAGTATTGCTACTCCAGCTTTCTTTTTGTTTCCCTTGGCACAGAGTGTCTTTTTCCATCCCTTCACTTTCAGTTTGTGAGTGTCTTTAGGTCTGAAGTGTGTCTCTTGTATGCAGTGTATATATGGGTCTTGTTTTTTTATCCATTCAGCTACTCTCTGTCTTTTGATTGGAGCATTTAGTCCATTGATATTTAAAGTAGCTATTGATAAATATGTACTTATTGCCATTTTGTTATTTTTTTCTTCTAAGAGTTTTATAGTTTTATTTCTTGCCTTTAGGTTTATCACCCATTTTGATTTTATTTTTACATATGGTGTGAGGAAGGTATCAACTTCATTCTTTTGCATGTGGATATCAAGTTGTCCTAGTGCATTTGTTGAAAAGTCTATTCTTTCTCCGTTACATTTGTGTTAGCACCTTTGTCAAAATTCAATTGACCGTAACTGTGAAGGTTTATTTCTGGACTCCCAATTCTATTCCACTGGTCTCTATGTCTATCTTTATGCAAGTACCACACTGTCTTGATTACTGCAGCTTTGTAGTAACTTTTGAAATTGGGAAGTGTGAGTCCTCCAACTTTGTTCTTGTTTTTCAAGATTGTTTTGAGTATTCTGGGTTATTTTAATTTCCACATGGATTTTAGGATCAACTTGTTGATTTCTGAAAAGAAGCGAGCTGGAATTTTGATGGGTATTGCCTTAAATCTTTAGATCAATTTGGAGAGTATTGCCATCTTGACAATATTAAGTCTTCTGATCCATGAAATTGGTATATCGTTCTGTTTGTTAAGTTTTCTTTAATGTTTTTCAACAATGTTTTTAGCTTTGGAATGTAAGTTTTGCTCTTTATTGTTAAATTTATTCCTATATATTTTATTTCTTTTGATGTTATTGTAGATGGAATTGTTTTCGTAATTTAATTTTCAGATTATTCATTGCTAGTTATAGAAATACAATTTATTTTTGTGTATTGATCTTATATCCTGTAATGTTGCTGAACTTGTTAATTAAATCCAAAGTTTTTAGTGTATTCTTTTATATGTATGTCTCTTTTTAGATTATAACCACTGTGCTTAGTTGTTAGTGAAAAGAGATTATGAGGTTCAGGGGAGAGTCTAGTCCTATTTTACAAAAATATCTGCTTGGTTTTGGAAGTGACTTGAATTTATTTTCTTTCTAGAAAGCCAATCTTTGAATATTATTTACTTCTGTTGCATATACTTACTGTGCTTATCATTACACATTTATATAAACTTAGCACAAAACCTGCCACATATTAGGTGCTCAATACATATTTACTGAATAAAGCTGCATTTTGCGAATATGAAGTGTTTATAGTCATAATTAATCTTATTCTTTTCTTTCTAACACAATATGGAAAAATACAAAAAATTATTTAAATCATAAAGTAATATAACATTACATGAAGTTTGAAAAATGAAGGAGAAAATGCCCATAATCACACCACTCTAATATTACTACATAGACTCATTTTAATGTATTTTCTTCAATAATTTCCGTGTTTAAAATTTATATAGCCATAATTGCAGTGTACATGTAATATTTGTGGCATCATAAAAGGCAATTTCTTCTCTTTTCCTAATATTTTTATTATAGAACTTTTCAAACAGAAAAGATGAGATTATTTTGCTTTGGGCATCAATATAACAGCCACTTAAATTCTACAGTTGTTAACATTTTACTATATTTGCTTTATCACATATCCATCTATCCTATTTTTTGGGTGCATCTCAAAGTGAGTTGCAGAAATCAATACACTTCACCCCTAAATGCTCCAGCATGTATATCATTACCTGAAGTCCAGTATTTTATTACAGATCGTTGTTGAGTTAAAATTTACATATGTAAACATTTTTGTATATACAATTTTATATCTTACTTTTTTCGCTAGAGACATAATAAACAATTTCCCATGTTAAAACAGTTTCCATGACCACTATTTTAAATGACTGAATAATATTCTATCTAGTGAATTTATCATAATTTATCTATGTATTTCTTTATTATTGGATATTTATATTGTTCCTAATTTTTCACTATTGTAAATAATGATATGAAGAACACTATTAAGTGCAAAGATTATCCCCTCCACATCCTCAAAAAATTAAAAATGAAACTACCATATGATCCAGCCATTCCTCTTCTGGGAGTATATCCAAAGGAATGAAAATGCTAACTTGAAAAGATATCTGCACCCTCATGTTCATAGAAGCATTATTTCCAATACCCATGACTTGGCAACAACCTAAATGGCCATCGATGGACAAGTTGATAAAGAAGTTGTGGTATATATATATATATATACCACATGTGTATATATATTTATATACACACACACAATGGAATATTATTCAACCATAAAAAATCAGTGAATCCTACCATTTGTGAAAACATGGATAAACCTTGAAGGCACTATGCTAAGTGAAATAAGTCAGATAGAGAAAGAGAAATACTGTATGATCTCACTTAAATGTGGAATCTAAAAAAACACCCCCCTCCTCCCTCCACAAATGAAACTCATAGAAAAGGAGATCAGACTGGTGGTTACCAGAGGTGGAGGATTAGGGAAGGGAGAATTGGAAGAAGGTGGTACAAGCTTCCGGTTATAAGAAATAAGTATTAGGGATGTAATATACAGCATGATGACTGTAGTGAAAACTGCTGTATAATATACAGGGAAGTTTAAGAGAATAAATTCTAAGAATTCTCATCACAAGGAAAAAACTTTTTCCTTTTTTCTTTCTTTTATTTTTCTTGTACCTATATGAGAAGATGGATGTTAAGCTGAACCTATTGTGGTAATCATTTGACCATATATGTAAATCAAACCATCATGCTCTATGCCTTACACTTATATCTTAAACTTATATAGTGATGTATGTCAATTATTTCTCAGTCAAACAGGAAAAAAAAGATTATCTTCTCCACATTTTGGATTAGTTCCATAGGACAGAGTCTCAGAAAAACAATACTGTGTTGAAACATGTAAACATTTTTTGGCTCTTTATACATATTGTCAAATTACTTTCCAAAATACCGAAAATGACAGCTTCTTTGAGTTATTTTACTCTGGGTGTTTATTTTCCCCCCTCAATACTGTTTGTTCTTCTGGGGAATGTGGAGTCAAGTATTAACTCCATGTATTTTTGATGAAACAAATCAAATAATACTTTGTATGAAAGTCATCATTAGGTCAACTGTGGCATGGAGATACCATGTGAGAGTGATGGAGATGAGCGTGAGAATTAGCCCTGGAATAGTTAGTGAAATGACAGCTATGCTAAATAAATAATCTGTTTAAAGGGGAGCTCATCAGAAAAATGTGGAATTGTAGGTGAGAAAAGTGGCACTGGAGAAAATAATTGAAACTAAAATACAATTGTGCACCATCATTGTACATAAACTGGTTTTTGTTTGTTTATCCAGTTAGTATTCCTCTCAGTTATATTACTACCAATATGTTTATTATAAGATAATGGTATATAGCTTCTATCATAATCACCATAGCACCCTGGGAGATTTAGGCCAGAGCTATGCTATATTGGTCTCAGGCAATAGTACCACTCAGGACCAATTATTGCCTGTAGAGGTCTCTTGCCAGAAACCAACCTGTCCCAAATTACACATGTTTTGTGTCTCCATTTTATCCTTGAGACACTATGAGCTTGATTTATTTTGCGTCCAGTTGACTAGGTTCCACCTGATAGAAAGATAAACCCCAAAAGAAGCTACTAGAAACATTGCTCCATGGTCCCTGGAACAAAACACAATAAAACAGCAAATCTTGTTATTTGAATATGTATTCTTTATTTAGCACTTTGGCAGGAACTACAAGTGCTACATAAGTTGCATGAGACATGATCTTTGGTATAAAGGAGCCTAGTTGGGAAATAAGAATAGCAGCTAAAACAATTAAAGAATAAATGATACAAAGTAACATAATTAATTGCTCAATTATGTGAAACTTAATGAATATAGGAATTCAAAGAAGAGAGAGATCAATGTAGGCTGTAGTGGTTGCTGAAAGCTTCGTGGATGTTCCTGGTAAGACTGAACTGGATTTGAGTTACATAAAGACAATGGGAGGAGATATATCAGGTAAAGCCAACAATATGAATAAAGGTGTATAGAGAATAATGAACAAGCTGTGTTCATGGGACAGTGAAATAATTACTCTAACAGTGGGTAAGTTTTTGGGAGGAAAGGTACAATGGGACTAGATTATGGAGGCCCTGTAAATAACCCACAATAATCACATAAACATAAAACATGCAAGAAAGAAAATATTGTTGGAGGTAGGCAGTATTTTAACTGGCTAAGAAAATGTTTTCTTTTGTCCAGGTTGAAGAAATGGCAGTAAACCTGTGGAACTGGGCAGTTACCAGGAGAGTAGGTTTGGTTATAAGTGAAGAGCAGAAAGCTAAATGTATGTATATGTTTTGTGACTCATATTATGAGGAGTATTCTTATATTACATTAGGTTGTGTTCCTGCAGTGTAAATAATATTTTGACCAGTTCTTAGATGGAGAGTTGTTAAGAGAAAACTAAACAAAGCAAACCACGTGCAGTGGTTTCTCAAGCAAACAGCCCCCTTCCGTTTTAGGATTTTTCAGAGGTTAGCTCCTTATTAATAAAAGTTTAAAAGTGTCACTGCAAGAAATAGTCTGCTGGTGAACAACAAAGATGATTAAAGAGTGGGAAAATGAGAACTTGAGGAAATGTTAAAAGACACAGATTATTTTCCCTGGAGAAGAGATGATCAGAAACTTCAGGATTCTAAAGGACCATCAAATAGTAGTTTCCTCTTTCCATTAATAATAGAGTGAAAAATGTTGCTATGTGAGGGATTTAGATTTAAACATCTGTAAAGAATAGTTTCCTCATGAGGTGAAGTGATGAGCATTGGACTGAGTTACTGAGAAAAATTAGATGTTTTTTCCTTCCTGCAAGAGCAAGCAAGGAGAAGAGGAAAAACAAATCAAGAACTCCAAACCAAACTCATCTGCTTGGATGCATTAAATGTGGTTCTCTCTGGCAAAGTTCTAGTGCTTTAGCTAAATGGGCAGGGTCTAGAGTGCTGGTTACTGATTCCCAACAAAGATAGTGACAGTTAATACATTTATGGAAAGCATATTGCCTCATTAAAGGATACATTGAGGCAGCAAACCAAAAAGTGAATCTCTTGACTGCTTGGCTTTGTAAAGACAAATGAATTTTGTGTGTAGGGCAACAAATAGAATTTATTACTAAGTATTTATTTTTATGAATATAAACCAAACTGTATACAACTTCAGTGTAGATATGGAGTAATTAGTGGTTAATATAGTTAGTAATATACTTACTTATTAGTCTACTCCTCTATCAGGATGTTTAGAGAACAGTTCTATCTCTTTAACTCTCAGATAAATGTTGATATTACTGCTCCTAGGAGCCTTAGATCCTGTAGTTATGGGGAGGGAAGAACTAGAAATTTATCTGTGGGAAAAACTTAGTACACATGTGAACTGTGTGATAATAAAATGCATTAATTCTAAACTCCTACCATTCTGCATATCAAGAAACATTGCTCTGGCTGTTTTTCACTGCTTGCCAAATAGCAGGGATTTGGGAGATTAAGTGGGAGCTGCAGCCCTAGGACCTCTCCCAATGTACCGAGTGTGTTCATGGAGCAGTTCTGAATCAGATATTTGAGTGCTTATTATGTATATAGTACTTTTAAGATACAGTGGAATACAGGCTTTGGTGCAGGAGGCCTCTGATTTAAAAGAGTTTTATTCCAAAAATACTTTGATTGGAAGATATTTTGTCTCCCTAAAAACAAATTCAGTGTGCCTGGATTATGTTATGTGATGAAAAAAGTCATCAAGATTTGTAAACTACAGTTTGTTTGTTATTGGAAAGAATTATGGAACGATGAACAGAAATAGGAAAGCCAGAAGTAGAGAAATTACTTGTAAATTTTAGTTTTAGACCTGCTGCATTTGAGGTAACAAGAACTTATAAGAAAGGTCAGGCTGCCTATAGATTTGGTAGTTATTCACATGGAGGTGATCGTTGAAGCCACAAGAGTAGTTGAGTTCTCTGAGGGTGAATATAAAGAGCAATGGTTCTTAAATATTGGTATAAATAAGAATCGCCTGTGGAGCCTATTAAACTACAGATGCCCAGGCCCACCGTTGGAGATTTTGATTTATTAGGATTAGGGTGAAACCTGGGCATGTCTATAATTTGAAAACATTTCTCAAGAATTCTCACGCACACTAAATTTTAAGAACCAATGGTGTTGAGAGAACAGAGTAGTGAGATTGTAACTTGACTCTTCCAGTTAAGGACTGGGAAGAAAAAGAACAAGGATAGGAGACCAAAAGGGACAGTCAAAATATTCTAGAGTCTCACTACCCATTTATTGAGTACATGCTCCCTATAGGGTTGTCACACCATCTTATGGTTGGCAGTAGGTGAAAGGGACCAGGTAAGGCTCCAGAACAGAAATACCAGGCATACATTATGCTTGAGGATCTTGGAAGGAATGAGTTAATGCTAAAGAAACAATAAAAATAAAGAATTCGCAAATGCCAGAGGACGCAACACTATGCGTTGCCTAAAGTCAATTCAAATATCAAGCTGTGGGCGCTGATGGAGCAGAGAAAGGCCCATGTAAGGAGTCAGTCAGCAAGCACCTAACCAAGATGTTTATAATATAGAAGGGCCAAGGATAGGCTGATGAGAAGACAAGGACAGAGCAACAGCAACAAAAACAAAACAGCTTAATACTGAAGTATCGTTCTGCCTCAGCTTCAGCTGCCTTTGGCCTGAAGGCTTATATAAACAGTGGGATCAAGGATGTGGGGATGAGAGCAGACAAAGTTCTTAGACTAAGACATTTCCCACAGAGGCACACTTTCACTGCTGAACCAGAATAGTGTGAGGCCAAGGAAGTAGTGTTTTTCAAAAAGGTTATGATCATTGTGAAATGTTGCTAAGAAGTCAAGGAAGTTGATCTTTGGGAGTACAGTTTTAGTAAAGTGGTAGGGATGCACAACAGATTGCAGGGGCTTAAGGAGATGAGTAGCAAGAAAATAGAGGCAGTAGATAGACCATTCAGTTCAAGAAGTTTGGCAATGAAGGGAAGGGGAGAAATGGGATGGAACCTTGAAGCACAGTGGGGTTAGTTAATTTTTTTCAAGGAAAGGAGATGGATATGTTTGAAGGTAGAGGGGAAGGAGTAAACTGAGAGGAAAGGTACTGAAGATATCTTTGGAGAGGGGAAATAATTGAGAGATCAGGGTCTTTGAGAATACTCCAGAATTAGTGAGCTTTGGAAAAACAAAGGAAATGTTTTTAAAACCGGAAATGCATGACAATGTAAATATATGATTTGAAATTATTGGTTTTTTTTGCTGAGGAAGAGTAGCCTTGAGCTAACATCTGTTGCCAATCTTCCTCTTTTTTTTTTTTTTTTTGGCTTGAGAAAGATTAGCCCTGAGCTAACATCTATGGCAATCTTCCTCCACTTTATATGTGGGTCGCTCCCACAGCATGGCTGGTGAGTGGTGTAGGTCCATGCCCAGGATTTGAACCCATGAACCTGGGCCATCAAAGCAGAGCCTAATGAACTTAACCACTATGCCACAGGGCTGGCTCCTGATTTGAAATTAGTTTACCGAAAGTTTTCTTTCAGAAACAAATTAACTTTCTAAGAGATGAATAGATTTTACTTCATGATGGGTAATAAAAATCTGACTACCTCAATTATGCTGTAATTTCAGCTGGGCACATCTTCTCTTTTTCAACAAAATATTAATTAAAAATGGTATTAGCATAGATAGAATGGCAGCTGAGATCCCACATCAAGGCAACTGGTTCAGTTATATGTGGAGTCATCTTTAAAAAAATTGGATGTGTTTTATGATGAAAGAAACTACATAATTAAAGAGGTTACAATTATTCAAACTTTCCTATTTTCAGGGGAAATTAACCATATAATGAAGATATCTGTATTTTCTAAGAACTTTTATGTCATCTACAGAAAACAATATATTTAGAAAGTTTTACATTTTAGGAGAATAACCTAAACCTATCCTGATGTTCAGAAGTCGTCAGGTGTCGAATAACTTTAGATTCCAGTTCTACTTAGAGTTATTTTGCTGCCAGCATGGTACATACAAGAGCATCATGTGGAACCAGGTATCTTCAGTGAGTCTTTGGGATTTAAGGCTTGCAGAAATTAAAATTTGAAAATTAGTTATCTGTCTGACTGGAGCATTAAGCGATTGATTTATCTGATAATTTTCAGGTCATTTACTTTTGATAATTGACTTTTTAAAAAGGCCTTTAAAATTCTTGTTTTTAACAATAAAACTGGCTTAATTTCACTCTTCTTTTCTCTTTATAGATGTATTATAAAAAGAGAATGAATGTTTTGTGTTTATGGGTGTCTAATTACTGTTTTGCAGTACAGCATGTTGCTTGCAAGTTGGTGTGTATGTGTGAAGACTCAGCTGTTTCAGAAGAAGCTATTCAAAAACAGATTTTGGTAAGTCCTAATTAAATGAGGAGAAAGTGCAGATGCACTGAGAAAGTTGTTACTCCTGTGAAGATGGTTGAAGTTAGGGTAAACCCGAAAGGGGGTCCATGTTCCTTTTATGATAATTATATCTGTTACAATGAAAAGTCTCAGTAGTACTATAGTTGTTATTACAGTGATTCAGTGGACTAAATATTAAACTTATAATTCAAGATTTATGAAATGTAATGAAAGTAATACAAAGTAATATTTCTCTGCTCCTTCCCTTCCTACTCCCTGTTTTCCTCCCTAGAAGCAAGTATGTTTTTTTAGTGGAAAATATTTCTCCTAGTGTTTGAAAAGAATATTTTTTAAGAAGCCCAAATGTACACACAAAATAGCTGATAGTACTGTGATTTCCTCATTTATCCATCACCCAACTAGAGTAATCATCAACTCATGACCACTCTTGTGTCTTCTATATCTCCTCCAACAGAAAAACCCCGGCCCCATGATTATTTTGACACAAATTCAAAATACATCATTTTGTCCATAAATATTTCAGTATGTGTCTCTAAAAGGCAAGGTATTCTTTTATTCAAACAAACTCACTAGCCGTTATCACACCTGATAAAATTTGCCAAAGATTTTCCCAAATCATCAAATATCCAGTCTCCCCCACCCCACCCCGCCTACTTGCTTGCTCCTCCTCTCTCCAGTTGGTTCTTTAGAATCAGGATTAAAGAAAGTCCACACCTTGTTATTTTGTTAATATGTCTCTTTTAATCTATATGTTTCCCCTTCCTTTTTTTCAATCTGTTGAACAACTTTATTTGCTGAAGAAACCAGGTTGTTTGTTCTATAGAGTTTCCTAAATTTTGGATTCTGATGACTGCATCCTCATTGTGTCATTTAATATAGTCCCCTGTTTTTCCTATAAACTGGTAGGTAGATTTAGAAGCTTGATTTGATTCAGGTTCACCTTTGTCAAGAATAATTCATGGGTGGTATGGTGTACTTCCATCAGGAGGCACTAATGTCTGCTTGTCATTTTTGTTGTGTTAGTGCCCTTTGATGATTGTCCCTAGATCCATTATTTCTCTAGGGGTTTGCATATTCTAATTCTGTATTCCTTCTTTGTTTATTAACTGGAAAAGAGAGAAACTTTCCCTCATCAACTATTTGGTTACTCTGAAGTATACTTTTACAAGAAAGACAGTCTTGATTCTTTCTCTTTATTTAGTAGTTTGCAGAATAATGAGTTGGTTCTCTAACATCCTTAAATGATGACCAAGCAAGCTTTCAAAAAAAGTATCATTGTGAACTCATGGATTTTAATATATGTAATGAACTTCAATCCATTGTAGTTATTGTTCTTATTGAAGCACAATGTCCTATCTTTGGCCAGAAGGAACCTCTTTAAGTGATTTTGAGTCCTTCTGACATGACCCCAGTAATCTTTGATTTCTCGTATGACAAGATATCCAGGCTCAGCTTGTATAGTTCCTGCCCTAGACCTGGAATCAGCCATTCTTCCAAGGAGCCCTGTTTCCTTTAGGTGGAAAATGTTATTTAGAAACCACAATCTGGACATGACAAGTTGTCATTGCTCTTGCATCAGTTATTGTTTCTAAACCTTTTTAGTGGACAGAGCTATGAAATACATATTTTTTTAATAAGAGAAAATATGTAATGAGTTCGTACTGGTATTTCCAAGTGATATTTAGGATTATAGGGTTTCACTTGGCTTCTTGATTTTATATTTGTGTCTTTTTTCTCTGGTGTTTGACCTTAAAAATAAAACAGCTAGTTACTTTACCAGCAAAACAAGTTTATGTGGGAAAAACCAAAGAATTGGAATTCAGGACCAAGATGCTATGGCAAAAGCCATAGGCAAGTCCAACAATCAAAGGAGAGGAATGTTTTTCTATGGGGACAAAGGAGGAAATGGAGAAATGTTGTTTTGAATGAAAGTCCATTGGAGCACAGCAAGAGTTAAGGAAGGTGATGAGTTCTCATTGGCTAAGTTACTGGGGTATTTGATTTCTGTTAAGGATACAATGTACATTTCTTGCTGTGATTGACAGTTCTTTCCTATTGAAGACTTCTTTCCAGTTGGGGTATGTAATTGACTATCTTTTCTGTAATTGACCTTGAGTGGTACTGCATGGGAGCTCCCTCTTTTGGCTTCCTGACTCCATTTTATTTTATTTTATTTTATTTTTTTTTGAGGAAGATTAGCCCAGAGCTAACATCTGCTGCCAATCCTCCTCTTTTTGCTGAGGAAGACTGGCCCTAAGCTAAAATCCGTGCCCATCTTCCTCTACTTTATACATGGGACACCTGCCATAGCATGGCTTGCCAAGCGGTGCCATGTCTGCACCCGGGATCCGAACTGGCGAACCCCGGGCCGCCGAAGCAGAACGTGCGAACTTAACCGCTGCGCCACCAGGCCAGCCCCCCACCTCCATTTTAAATGAGGTTTCCCTGTATTAATTTACACAGGTGCTAACAATCTTGGTGCCTAACAACATTAATATAATGAATAATTTGTTTTATCCTAAAAAATGTATATTTATAATAGTTTCGGAATATAGAAATATCAATATTATTACTAGGAATGATTTCTAAAAATTGTTTAAGAATTTTTTTGCACTTCTTTTATTCTTGGGATATATCTCACTGGGAATATACAGTCAAAATATTGTTTTAATATTATTAAAATATTGTTTAAAATTACTTGAAATAATTCCTTTCTCTGTGATTAAACTATTGACTTGATACATAGTTAGGTTCATTTGTTTCTATTTGTTTTTGATTTTTAGTGATTGCTTTTTTCCCCACATTTTGGTTGAATTTTGTTTTATTATTATGTAAAATATTTACATGGTTCCAAAGTCAAACCCACTAAACGGAGTATATTCAGATAAGTCTAGCTTCTATCTCTGTCTTCTCCACCCTGTTTCCCTCCTTCCCCTCTAGATAACTATTTTGTTTATTTTATTGTTTATTGTTTTGGTTTTTAAATATAAGGAAACAGGTATATATTCATATCTCCCCCTCCCTCCTTCAAGGTTCTTAGATAAATGGTAGCATTCCATATATATACTTTTCTCCACCTTTTTTTTTTTTACCCCATTTAACTTTATAGCCTAGAGATCACTTCATAGCAGTATATAGAGATATTATTCTTTTTTTCATAGCTACATAATATTCAATTGGTGCATGTACCTTATTATATTCAGCCAGCCCTCTTCGATGGACATTCGGATTCTGCAGTGAATTGCCTTGTGCATACATCTTTTCCTGTTTTAAGGCTATTACTTGTAACCATTTCTATTTTCACTTCTCATAGTTACCTCCACGTGTCTTAATCATATGCTTATGTCACTGTGTTGGTTTGCTAGGACTCCCACGACAAAATACTACAGACTGAATGGGCTAAACAACAGACGTTTATTTTCTCACAATTCTGGAAGCTACAAGTCCAAGATCAAAGTGTTGGCATATTTGGTTTCTTCTGAGGCCTTTCTTTTTCAGTTGCAGATGTCTGCCTTCTTGCTGTGTCCTCATATGGCCTTTCCTCTGTGTGTGCACATCCCTGGTGTCCCTTTGTGTACCCAAATTTCCTCTTATAAGGACACCAGTCAGATTGGATTAGGACCCACCCTATTTGTCTCATTTTAACTTCATCACCTCGTTAAAGTACAGTCCATTCTGAGGTAATGGGAGTTAGGGCTTCAACATATGAATTTTGGGGAGACACAATTCAGCCCATAATAATGATTATTCCATCTTGATTTATCAGCTTTATATGTGATCTATTTTTTTCTGCTATGATAGATGAAGACATATTATCTTATATTACCTCCCCCTACATCCCCTTTCAGTTTTTGTTAGTTATATTATACTATTTTTAATTTATCTGATAGTTATGTTTTAAAACTTTAAATAACATATTTAAATTTTTATTTCTTTCTCCATCAGTTTTGGAGCATATATCTTTACTTTTCACTCTGAGGATATTGGTACCTTTACTGTTCTCTCTACCTTTCCTTACCTTTAACCTTACAACTCCTGTCACCTCTAATAACATTTGCATTTTTGGCTTCATTGATTTCAAAGAATGAAAAGTAGAAGGAGCATTTTATTTCTTGTGACTACTATTTAATTCTGTGGATAACAATGGTATTTCTCTTTGTTTCCATCTGCTAGCTCTCTTAATTCTATTTCCTCAGGTATTCTTCTGTTTGTTGAGTGTGATGTCCTGTCCTTTCATGGTATTGGTTTCCCTCAATTATTTGGTGATTCTTGCTCATATTTTATTTGAGATTTCTTGATAGTCTTCTGTGAATGCTGTGTCAAACTATATACTAGGTTATAGTAAATAACCTGAATCCAGTGACTGATGGAGAGAAAGGACTGGATGTTTTGCATTGACCTGTGTTGTCAGCCAATTGGAACCCTATTTTTCTCCAGCCTAAGTGATTGTACTCATTGTTCCTTCCTGGGACAGGAGTCCAGGGGGAACTCCTGGGGGTTCCCTCTTAGGGAGAAGCCAACTGCCTGATACTCCTATTGTTCACGTCCATAATGTTTCCACATTTTGCATTTTTGTGCATTTTGGGATGTGGGTTTTTGCCTCATCCCATTTGCTGTCTGTTTCTCAGAGGTTCCTCATAATTTCAGGTCAACTGAAAATGTCCCTTGTTTTCCAGGATGCTTACTGTATAAGAAAAATATGCGTATATTTTCTCTTATTTCTAGAGAATATGTATAAATCTCTAGAAATGATATATATATCATATATATCATATGATCATATGATATATTTCACTATATGTGATATCACATATATCATTTCTAGGGATTTATAGTATATAAAATTTATAGTATGCACATCATTTCTAGGAATTTATCGTAGAAGGGATGACTGTGGTGTGTGCTCAATCCTTCATCTCAATTCAGTCCTTGTTTGCTTCCATAGCTTTTGTGCATATTACATATCAGCTATTTATTTAGATGTCTGTTAATTACAATTCTGTGAGCTTCTTCAGGGTGCCTGGCATGTAAAGGATAATTAATAAACATTTATTGGGTTAATAAAAATTTTATTAGAGATGTAATTAAAAACTAGAACCCAGGTGTGTTGACTTATAGTCTAATGCTTATCATATAACTTTCTTCAAGTATCTGAAGCATTAATTTTTCAGACCTTTCTCTTCCTATCTAAATTATTCCAATGTTTTCTTTTAATATTTCCTTCGAAGATGTGTTTTCAAGTCTATTAATTTTTTTCCTGCTTTTTCTCCCCTAATCCCCCCAGTACATAGTATATTGTATATTTTAGTTGTGGGTCCTTCTAGTTGTGGCATGTGGGACGCTGCCTCAGCATGGGCTGATGAGCAGCGCCATGTCTGTGCCCAGGATCCGAACCGGTGACCCTGGGCCACTGAAGTGGAGTGCACAAACTTAAGCACTTGGCCATGGGCTGGCCCCCTCAAGTCTATTAATTTTTTATTATTGATTTTCTTAAGACCATTTCTCTTGAATTATGGAGTTCAGAGCAGAACACAAAAATCTAATAAATGCTGTAACTTTTTTGTTTTCTGTGGATTATACTGCTGAATATGGACACAGGCTTAAATATTTTCTCCAACACTCTCCTTGATCAGTTTGGAGGAGGTGTGAATTTTTAAAAATTATTTTCTGACTTCTCTCTTCCAGATGAATATGAAAACAGGAAAAGGGTGGCTGGATGTTGGCAATGCTGTGACCGCTGATGAATTTTTTCAAGTTGCCATTGCTGTAAGTTACCATTGATGTTTAGCCGTGGCAATTATTAGTAAAAGTTGTGGTTATTTTCATCATTACATTGTATTGTGGTTTTATTTCCAGGGTCTGGAGCAATTATATGTCAGATTAATGCAGAGGAGCTCCACTGAGGCCCACGTGGCTATGCAGAAGATTGCTGTAGAGAGGGACCTTTTCAAAGTGCTTTCCTACCAAGCAGAGTCAGTAGGTATCATAGTGACCAGAGCCTCACAGTGGGGCACGTTGTATATGCAAATGCAAAAGTGATGAGATGTAACCTATTAGAAGAAAGTCAAGTGTCATTGGCCTTTCATAGGATATTATATTTGACCTTTTTTTTTTTAATCTGTCTCTTATATCTGAAGGTAATGTTACTAATGGTGATTGGTATCTGTGTGGGGGTGGATGAGGTTGGAAAGACTGATATATAACTAAACATCATTTTTAACCACTGCATGTAATATCTGTCATTTATTTACGGCAATAGCCCCTACTTGAAATACCTGTTTCTGTTTGTGACTGTTACATTGATAGTCTGCCTAAAATATTTGCCTAAAAAGAGCCTGAGTTTTCATTTGTGATTGTTCTGAGTTGTTTGCTGATGTTTTCTAAAAGTCTGCTGCTATCACTGTTCAAAGTTGTACTTTACCTCTGTTTGGCTTGTGAGTTTCCTCCTTTTGTTACTATGCAGTTAGGTGTGCATTTTCAGTTGACAAAATGTAAGCTGTGATGAGTTTGTTCTGTGTAATTATGTAATTTTAGCAATGAAAGAGACTTTAAAAATCATCTCGCATAATCCTCTTATTTTTATTTTTTGACATCTTTATTGAGTTATGATTCATATGCTATAAAATTCACATTTAAAAGGTACAATGTGGTTTCAGTGTATTCACAGAATTGTGTACCTTCATTACAATCTAAGTTTAAAACATTTTCATCACCCCGAAAGGAAATCTCTAACCCATTAGCAGTCACTCTCCATTCCTCCTGACCTCAGCCCTAGCCACCATTAATCTACCTGTGTCTCTATAGATTTGCCTATTCTGGATATTTCATATAAATGAAATCATACGATAAGTGGTCTTTTGTGATTAGCTTCTTAGCATGTTTTCAAGATTCATCTGTGGTGTAGCATGTATTAATACTTCATCTTTTCACAAATAATTTTCCACTGTATGGATATACCACATTTTGTTTATCCATTCATCCATTGATGAACATTTGACTTGTTTCCAATTTTGGGCTATTATGAATAATTCTACTGTGAACATTCATGTGCAGATTTTTTTGTGTACATGTTTTTATTTCTCTTGGATATATACCTAGGAGTAGAATTGCTGAATAACAGGGTACTTCTATGTTTAGCCTTTTGTGAAACTGCCTCTTTTCCACAGTGGCTGCACCATTTTTCACTCCCACCAGTAGTGTATGAGGGCTCTATTTCTCCATATATAAGATTTTTATAGTTTTACCTCTTAGATTTAGGTTTGTGATCCATTTCAAGTTAATTATTGGGTATGATGTGAGGTATGGGTCCAACTTCATTCTTTTGCATGTGGCTATCTAGTTGTCACAGCACCATTTGTTGAAAAGACTATTCTTTCCCCATTGAATGGTCTTGGCACCCTTGTCAAAAATCAGTTGATCATAAATGTGAGAGTTTATTCTGCACTCTTGATTCTATTCCATTGATCTATATGTTTGTCCTTATGCCAACACCACACTGTCTTGATTACAGTAGCTATGTGTCTACTGTAATGATTTGAAATTAGAAAGTATAAGTCCTCCAACTTTGTTATTTTTCAAGATTATTTTGGCTATTCTGGGTCTCTTGCATTTCTGTGTGAATTTTAGGATAAGCTTGCCAATTTATGCAAAGAAGCCAGCTGGGATTTTGATAGGGATAGTGTTGAGTCTGTAGATCAATTTGAGGAGTATTGCTATCTTCATAATATTAAGTGTTCTGATCCATGAATATGGGATGTATTCCCATTTATTTAGGTTTTATTTAATTCTTTCTTATTTTTAAATGATGAAACTGAGTTTCAGAAAGAGGATGTGAGTTAGTTGAAGATCTGACACAAGAACCAACATTTTCTGACTTCCAGTCTAATGCTCTCTACCCTACAAATTAGGTTGATTATGTAAAACAGTGATCCCTCCTTTGGTAATTTTGTCTTGCCTTCTTTTTTTTTTTTTTGAGGAAGATTAGCCCTAAGCTAACATCTGCTGCCAATCCTCCTCTTTTGGCTGAGGAAGACTGGCTCTGAGCTAACATCTGTGCCCATCTTCCTCTGCTTTATATGTGGGATGCCTACCACAGCATGGCTTGCCAAGTGGTGCCATGTCCGCACCCGGGATCCGAACTGGCAAACCCTGGGCCACCGAAGAGGAACGTGCGAGCTTAACCACTGCGCCACCGGGCCAGCCTCTTGTCTTGCCTTTTAATGTTAATATCCTTTTGTGGGTTACTTTAATGCAACTACTAAAAAACTGATATGAAGTCCAGCATGTCTTGGTCTTACATCTTAACTCTTCTACCAACTTGCTCTATGACCTTGGGCTGTTACTTAACCTCTCTAAGGCTATAAGAATCTGAAATTTAAGAGAACAGCTGTCTATGTATTACACTGTGACAGAGGTACATTTGGCTTGATAGCAGTTCATGTGAAAAAGACCTATTTTTTTTTTTAAAGATTGGCACCTGAGCTAATATCTGTTGCCAGTCTTCTTCTTCTTTTTTTTTTTTCTTCTTCTTCTTCCCAAAGCCCCTCAGTACACAGTTGTAAATGCTAGTTGTAAGTCCTTCTGGTTGTGCTATGTGGGACGCCGCCACAGCATGGCCTGACAAGCAGTGCCGTGTCTGTCATCAAGATCCGAACTGGCGAAACCCTGGGCTGCCGAAGCAGAGCGTGTGAACTTTAACCATTCATCCATGGGGCCAGCCCTGACCTATGTGTTTTAATTCAAGCTCAAGCTTAAGTTAGTGATGTGATGTAGGTGCAAAAAAAAGTTAGCACAATCTTAGGCTATATTAATAGATATACAGTTCCAAGATCTTGGCAGATATTCTACAGTAGTTAGTTCACATCTTGAGTATTGTGATCAGTCTAGCCATCACACTTTAAAATCACTGGAATAGTGTGGAAAATATGTGAAAACTATTTGGAGGATATAGGGATGTCTGCCTGGAAAAAAAGAAGACAGTAGGAATGATAGCTCTCTTTAAATATTTTGAGAACCATCAGATCAAAGAAGATAAGCTCCACAGGATAAAACAAAGACCAATGGGTAGAAAATATAGGTAGACAAGTTTGGGCTCAGTGTAAAGAAACTTTTTATCAGTGATAGTAATCCAATAATGAAATAGCTTTGTTGCAAGATGGAAGTCTGTTGTCACTGAAAGACTGCAAGCCAAGGTGTGAACATCCTAAGAATTATCTATTGTAGAAGGGATTCCTTCATTAGGTAGGAAATTAGACTAGATGACTTAAGTCTCTTCTTTAACACAAAGATTCTGTGATTCCAGAAAATCTTGTAGCATTTCTTCAGTGTTGTGGATGTTGACAGCTAAATGGTATCTCCTTTAGCTTGCTGAAAGTTTTAGTAGTTATGTTAAAAAATGAGAATTATATATTTCTTGACTTTGATTTGTGTTGACATCTCCAAAAGTTGAAATGAGACTAATTCTTTTTGGGGCCGGCTCAGTGGTGCAGGGGTTAAGTTCGCATGTTCCGCTTCAGCAGCCCGGGATTCGCCAGTTTGGATCCGGGGTGCAGACATAGCACCGCTTGGCAAGTGATAGGTGTCCCACATATAAAGTGGAGGAAGATGGGCATGGATGTTCGCTCAGGGCCAGTCTTCCTCAGCAAAAAGAGGAGGATTGGAAGCAGCTGTTAGCTCAGGGCTAATCTTCCTAAAAAAAAAAGACTAATTCTTTTTGCTGTAAGTAAATTTTTCATCTGAAAGATATTCTTACCATCAGGGCCTATAGGTTTTGTTGATATTTGCTTGGCAGAAAGCATCTTTAAGAACCACTGTTAACAGTAGTGTTTATTAATGAGTTTTCTCTGTTCCAATAGAGCTCCAGAGATATTCTTAGAGATCTTATAGGCCTTATCTTTCTTTAGGCATTTACCATTGAACTGGTTGTATAACTTCTTTATTAATTTATTATTTGTTAAATTATTCAACAGAAAATTAGCATCTTCTATCAACAGAGTACTAAGCTAGGCTTTATGGGGGAGGGAAATGCAAATAATCACATATCCTATCCTCAAGGAGATTACAGTTTAGTTGGTGAGATAAAGAATGCATATTCAAGATAGAAAGAATTAAGTACCATAAGAGTAGTGCAGACAATTTACCTATATGCAGTGTTCAGTGCTATATATGGGTGGAGTTATAAGGTATGGTCATTCACCTCGAGAAAATTATAAGCTAGTTTGGAAGTTAGGCTATAAGTGCATTTTTAAAAAGTGGAAAAAGGAAAATGTAAGTGCCAAATGAGTGTCATAGATGAGGTGGGGTACAGACTACATCTAAGGTGGTCACATGGTCTTCATAACAATTGCTAACGATTTACTTTTCCTCAATCTCTATATCCCCCTGCAAAGTGATGGATAATCTTCTGTTTACCCTTGTGCTACAGATTATCCATCTGTAGTCTTTTAGCTTTGTAGAAGTAACTATAGATCTTGGTGTTTCTCCTAATTTCCCATTTCACTTGTCTGTTGGCAGTGCCTCTTTCTGTTGTCATATCATCTGCAGATGCAAGGGTCATGTGTTGTGCTTCTGCTCCCTTCCCTCTTTACTAGGATAAGACCACTTGTGGAAACTGGCAGGGTCACAGAGAAGTAGATGCCGCGAGCTTATCCATAAAGACTATGATGGAGGGTATCCTGGTGATGCAAGCCAAGTGGAAAGCCCACTTTCTCTACTATACCAAGGGCCCTGGTCCACTGTCTCTCCTACTAGTTAAAAAAACAGTAATGTAAAAAATTAATCTTTGTGTTGTCAGCGTCTAGCGTGGTACCTGGCACATAATAGACAATATGTAAATGTGTGTTGTACAAATGAATCCACTCTCCTATTATCCCTCTTTAACCTCTTTGTCCCCACAAAAAGTGTAGTAGTAGTATATAAGATATGAAAGATCGAGAAACACTGGTATAGACAAGTACTGTAAGAGTATAAAAAGGGGG